GCTGATAATCCGGAACTGACTCACTGACTAAAATTGTTTAAACCATCGTATTTCTGAAGTGTTGCATTTCAGACCAGGGCTTAAAGGGCCAGGAGCCCTTAGGTGTGTGTCACTGTCCATCTTGAGGGAACATTACAGCCATAGGGGCAATGTGAAAAAGCTCTAGCCATCGAAGCTACCTCTCCAGTTGCTCCCAATAACCCCAGTTTCTCTCTTTTCCCATAAAAGCCATGTTCTTTGGAAAGAGGCAATCTTCTTAGGAAGCTGGTAATTGGATAGCACACAGAAAAGAGATTCTTCCACCAGTATGCTTGAGGAACTTGGTCAGGCAGAGTCTCACAGGGAATGCCAGACACAGAACTGGAATGATTCTCACAGCTATGCGTGTCTTGAAACTGTGTAACTAAATCCTTGCCCAGCAAGGGGAAGCCTTCTTCCTCGGTGGGAAAAGCTCCTCCTGAGCTGGAGAGGCTTTGGCCAGGGTACCTCCCTTCTCAGAGAACACCCTTGCCTGAAGCACAGGCTTTTTTCTGGAAGCCATTCTACTTCATCAGTGTGTGGAAATTAAAAATCATCTAAAACAAGAATTAGTTTCCCTGCAGTCCAGTAAGAATTGCTCAGCTCCCTTCACATCACCACTGAAGTAGGGCAAGATGCATCAGCTGTAGGTGGGGCTGAGCAGGCACCCAGAGCTCCACGAGCATCCCCCTGGGAGGCACTGAGGGACAGAGGGAGCACTGAGAAGTGCAGGGCCCTGCACAGGAGTGTGCTCAGTACCACATGTCTGGGACCTTGGCAAGGACAAAAACTTGTTCCAAAACTTACTTTTCTAAGCTCAGCTCCAGAGGCCCTGTCCTGCTTGTCCCGAGTTGGTGGCTGGGCACTTGTCCAGGGGGAGGGAGGTGGAGGAGCAGGGGTCCCACACAGGACGATGCTTGTTGTGCTGACACCCTGTCCCTGTGTCCCCCCACTGTGCTCCAGCTGGGTATCCCTGGGACTGCTGACAGCCTGAGTGCTGCTGTTCAGACATGAACAAATCTCAAAGCAGTCAAAGAACAATCAGAAAAGCCTGTGTTCCTTGGAGTCTTACCCAGTTTTCTGCAAATTGCTTGACATGAGTTAAAGCGTTTGAAAATGACCCCAAAACTGCTATGAATTGTATGTTTGGGTTTCTCGGTAGCCTGGGAATGGAAGGCTGTTCTGCTATTATTAATGCTATTTTAACTTTCACCTCTTCAGTGGAAAAAGGATTTCATATCTTAAATACTTCTCCTTGCCCTGGTCATGCAGAAATCCTGAATATTGGTGATCTCATTAATTGTGCTCAGCCTTCAGCAATCAGTCAGGCAGCTGACATGGGCTTATGGCAGAAGGAGTTTTGGTGGTAAAGTCGTACCTTGGGCTACAGACAAAATAATTCTTTTAAATAGACACATTTATTGGAAAACTAGACACATATCCAAAAGACTAGGCAAACTGCTGTAGGGAAGCAACAGTCTTTTCCAAAATAAAGAGCTCCAGCCATTGAAGGTGCCTCTGTGGTGGCTCCTAATAACTCCAGTTTCCTGTTTTCCTGTAAAAGCCACATGATTTTTTTGGAGAGAGAAAGAGAAAAGGAAAACACAGGGTCAGTCAAATAACTTTCCCCCCTCTCACAAGTCTCAAAAAGTATCTGAGGTATTAGTACCAGGAAAGTGTGTCCCCCGAACAAGTGCTTGGCTTTAGCTCTTGGTTCTGTTTGGGGAGTGCAGGATCCCATGTGTGCAGCAAAATCCATCTTCTCTATGAAAAGTTTTTCATAGGAATTGCATTTCACTGACTGAGCTCATCCAGAACTTCAAAAATATCTTTCCTGACACCTCTCCATGCTGAGATGGACTTTTGGGTGATCCAGGCTTCTGCCAGCTGAGATAGGAGTTTCCAGTATATGCAGCATTAAAAAGGGGGGAGGCTGTTTTGTGCCAGTGTCAAGTGCTGTCAGCACATTTGCTCCAACTCAGCCCTGTAACAGCTGGGACCAGCTCACCTCTCCATGGGTCAGACATGTCACTTGGCAAAAATAAAACCAGCTGAGGAAGCCCTGCCTTTGGGGAACAGTGAGACCTGCTCCCTGCCACAGCTGGGGCGCTGGAGGGGCAGCACTGGGGTTTCACTCTGGCTGATCTGCAGGGTTGTGCCAGTGTGCTCCCATGGGGTGTGCAGCAGTGCCCCTGGTGCATGGCAGTGGTGCCCTTCGTGCATGTGGCAGTGCCGGTGGTGTGTGTGGAGGTGCCCACGGTGTGTGACAATGCCTGTGGTACATGTGGCAGTGCCTGTGGTGTGTGTGGAGGTGCCCACAGTGTGTGACAATGCCTGTGGTGTGTGTGGTGGTGCCTGCAGTCAGTGGGTTGGTGCCCGGGCTGTCAGTGCTGCCCCTGCAGTGGCTGCCAGTGTGAGGGCAAAGCCCAGCAACTGGCTCCAGGTGAGGGCTGGAGGGTGTTCTCCCTGCGAAGGGTCTTGGTGTCTTCATGAGGAAAAGGGACACTGGAGGCAGGGGGACTCTGAGGGGATGCTGCTGTGGGGCAGGTGCAGGAGAGAAGGCAGGGGAGGGAGGCAGGGCAGGATGGCTTCCCTTGTTCTAGCACCTGGGCAACTCCGGTGTTTATTGAACAAGTTCCGTGGAACAAAACAAAAGAGCAGATGTGAGTGAAGCACCATAAAGGTCTCTGCTGGCCACCCAAAAAAGGATGCCTCACACTGGAAAGCTGAGGAGAGGGATGGCTCAGAGAAAGGACCTTTGAGCTCTTACACCCACATTAATACTGATTCTCCCTCTTTGCCCTCAGCAAATCACTTCATTTCTCCACTCTTTCCTTTCCATAAAATGAGGTCAATGATAACAATTTTTCTGCTTCACAGGAGGGCTGGTATGAATAAATATTTGCCAAATGAGGCATAAAAGACAATATGGGATAAAATTATTGCAGAAGAAATGCAGTTTTTAAATTGTTGGGCTCTCAGGAATGAAGTAGCTGGGCATGATGGGTCTAGACTGAGGAACACAAATTAAAGTCAGAAAGATTTGGGAGTTCATGTGATCTGGAATGCCAGCAGCTGGCATGCTGAGAGCACAGGGTTTGGGGAACAGGGCACTGATTTTCTGCAGATCACAGAAGGAGTTAGTTCTGTCACTGGGAGTGGAGACCCCAGGGAAACTGCAGGGATCCTAGTGATGGCTTTTGTCTTCCTTTTTGCATTGGCATGTTAATGTTACACATCAAGATTCTATGATAAACATTCCCAGCAGCAGACAAGAATTTCCCTTGGAGAGCCTGGTCCAGCATTTATCCCTTTGCCAGTACTGGAGTGGGGAAGATAAATGAGGGAATCATATTGTTGGACTAGAGTCTGTGGTAGTCAATAATTCCAAGTAGTTCCTGAATTAGTCTATTACTAATAATCTATTTTCACCATAATTGGAAGGACAAGAGGTCCTAGCAGGCAGTGCATGAGACATAGAGGAGAAAATGATTAAAGCAGAGCCAAAAATATCACCATACTGAAGTCATGAGTCAGATCCTGACCTTTCAAATAGCATCACGGAGAGCCTGAGCTCATTTGGATGCGGTCCCAGAGATCCAGGTAAGAGTGACAGGAGGGCTCAGCATGGCTGGCTTTGAGTAGAGAGAGGAAACTGGGAATGTCCTGGGGGTACACAGGCATCTGAAAGGCACGAGGGGCTTCAGATGACTCCATGTCTCCTGCTCTGGTCTTCCCAAAGAAAGGGTCACCCCATGTTGTTGAGCTCCACTGTTTTATCTGGCGGCACTCCTGATCACTCTGCAGAGAACGTGCATGCCCTGATTATCAGCAGTAATTAATTCCAGCTTCTTGTAATGAATTACAGCTCCTTCCTGATCACCATTTTAAAAGGCCTTTGTGTCAAGTCATGTTTGCTCAGGAAAGAGGAGTTATCAATCACTCCTATGGAAACCACAATTCCTTGTGAACTGCTGGGACTGCAAGAGATACAGTTTCAGAGACAAAATACCCGTTGTGAGACTGGCCACAGAACTGTAAACTTGGATCTTCAGGGAGAGCCACAGGTGGACCCTTGGCAGGGCTGGGGAGGCTCAGTGCTGGGGGCTTTATAATGCTGAACTGCTCCACAGAGGCCGAGAGGAAAAGCTTTGCCCTGAGCAAAGACCTGTGGGATCCTCCGTCCCGCTCTGCCCAAGGCCTGTTCTGGGGCAGCTGCTGCAGCAGGGCAAGCCCTCAGCCCCAGCACCAGGAGGGTGCCCAGCCCTGCAGAGGAGTGTCCCTTTGGGGCTCCCTCCCGTGGCAGCTCCACTGGCCTCCAGCTGCACAGTGAGTGAGTCTGTGCCTGTATCGGGGTGAAGCTGTGACCCTGCTGAGGTCTGTCTGTCCCCCTGCCCTCCCACTCCCTGGGATGTGACACCTGCCAAACCACACAGATGGCTGCCAGCAGCAGAGAAATGTTTGTCTGTGTTCATTCCTTGTTAATAAAAATAAGTCCTTTTTAAGGTCATGGGCAGAGGAGTTGTCATGTCACATCCTGCTCTGTGTCTCCACAGCAACTCCAAACACTGGGAGCAGTGCAGTGTCAGCCTGCACAGCACATGAGCTCAGCCCTGGCTGCTCCCCCTCCGGCCACATTCCCTGAGCAGCAGTGGGTGGCAAACTGGCATGTGCTGTCCTGGTGATGGTCCCTGCTTCACTCCCCTAGGACTGTGGGACATGCTGCCTGTGTACCTCAGCAGAGCCCACAGGGTTCCATACATGGCAGATGGAAAAATAATTAGAAATTAGTCTCAATATTTGGCTCCCAAGTCCAGAGTCAATCGCTCTCCCTTGGATATGTGGGTGTTTGACCATGGATGTTTCATGGGCTCATGGGCATGATTTTCTCCCTTCTAAGAAAAAATTACTCAGCCAGATAAAACAAGCAAAAGATGCTGATTGTGCTGATTCATAAGGAAACTATTTCTCTTCTATTTTAGCACCGTGCAAGAGGAAATTGCGGAGCAATTTGCTGGAGGGGCACAGAAAATGAGGATAGTACAGATTGTCCAGCATTTCCTGGGTGTCTGATAATTTCTTCACAGCCTTAAAATCTGTGAGCAGGTTTGTGCTGCATGTTACGGTGTAGATTAGAGATTCATCCTCGTCTTCAGTAAGATCCAACTCCAGAAGGAGCATAAATGAAGGAGCCTCGAGCTCAGGGGGTCCAATTTACACCACTGGAAAAGGGTATCCAAGGGGCAGCGAATCCCTGTGGTGCTCCCACTGTCCTGGGGTTTGTGCACGAGCTTTTAGGTATTTGATAAACCTTATCCCAGGGGAATTGCCCTTGGAGTGGTGTTTTTGGCAGCCAAAGCCCAGGGGTTTGGGAAGAGCTGAGACTTTATCCCAGCTCTGAGGGCGGAGGAGCTGGTGGGGCTGCAGCCAGGACCATCCCCTGGGCTGTGCAGAGCTGGGGGCACAGCGGGCTCTGTTTGTGCCTGCCCTGTGTTTCTGGCCTCCTCCAGTTCAGTACCCACACTGGGCAGGGGCTCTGCTCCTCACAGGGATGCAGCTGAAGTTCCACTTCCCAAATCTTAAAGCACTTAGGAGTTTCAGGAGAAGTTTAGGCTTCTCTTTGCACCTCAAAGACTCATTTGCTGCCATAGCAGTATAATTACCTATTCTTGTCTGCTTTTCAGAGTCATGAAATGTTTTCTCCCTCCAGTGAATCCTTCCATACCCCTCTCTCCTCTGCTGCTGGTCAGGCTGTTCCACAGGTCTTGCTTCCCTGAGCATCACTGCAGTCCTGTGAGGCTTCATGGGCATCAGGTTATCCTACTCTTTTTGCCTCTCATTATCCCAATAAATGATCTGCAATACAGGAAAGATGCTATTTTGTGATGCTTGGAAATGCCAAATCAGAACTCCTGAAAATTCAGCCTCTCAGGGTTTGCTTCCCAAACTATTTGCACTCTTGAACATCTTGGTGAAGGCTTAGCTTTGGGATTAGCTCACCTGCAGTTGCCTTCACTTTGGGTTTCTGAGGTCATGGTCAGCCCTGTCTATTGCTGTTTGTAACACCAAGGAAGCACTAAGCCAAGCATGTGCTCAGATATGGAAAAACATGAAGGACATGGAGAGAATGAGGCTGGTCTGGGTGAAGGGAACTGAAGGGGCAGCACAGCCACCCCCAGAAAGGTGCTTCCTCCCTCCCTGCATCCCTCTGCTCAGGAGGTCAACACCATGAGCTGTCTCCTCTGGCCTCCTTGCAAACTTCTGAATACTCATAAATTTTTCAAGAAAACTTGTTTCTCTCTTTTCTGGTTGGGGAACAAATGGCTAGTTCTTCTATGTGTAAGAGTGTAGGAATGGGGATGCAGTTTTTCCGGCATCTTAATGAAGTAAATCCTCAGTCTATCTGGAGAAATAAGAAATCTCTTTCCTAACCAAGGGATAAGCTGCCTGAGCATCTAGGAAGAGTTTTGTTCCAGCAACTCTGAAGGCACTTTCCCACCCTGTGAAGATCTGCCCCATATCTTCTGATTCCACTTTATGCTGTTACTGTCAGGGATTAGTGTTAATTGCTGAGCCCTGTGGAAAGGGGAGTGCTTGATTGGTTTGGATGTGCCTGTAAAAGGAATCTCAGGTATTAAAAAGCTTTTGAGAAACAGGGGAACCAAGGCAGATAACAGCATCAAAGCCCACGTTGTGCTCTCCTGGTGCAGGGTGCAGCTCTTGCGAGAGGGAGTGGTTTGCTGAAGGTTGTTTTGTTTCTGGAGGAGAACACGAACCCGCTGGGCCGGTGACTCTGGGAAGCCCCAACAGGCAGTGGATGGTGCAGAGGGAGGCACTTGGAGGACTGTTACACTTCACAGCTCTTCCTTGACTCCTAGAAAGGAGACGTAAGTTAACGTGGAGAAAAAACATTGTTTAATCTAGATTTGAAATTCTGAATATTCATTGTTTATCTCTAGACCACTTTAGTGTCTCTGGTATGAGAGCTACAGGTTGATTCAAAGCTTTTATTAGAGAATTATATACATTTGAATCAAAATACCTGTGTAAGAAATTTGAATATCATCCAGAAGAATGTCTCTGTCATGCCCTGGCAGTTCATCTCCAGAGAACAGCTGCATATTGATTAAGTGCTCATTAAATAAACATTATCCAGTCCTGGTGGAGAAGAAACAGAAGTCATGATGGAGAAATAGTACTGACTGTGCAAATGCAGACTGCCATCAAACAGACAAAAGAGTAGCCAGGATTCGTGTTGCTCAAAAAATCTTCACTCTTGTGTATCGATTGCTGCTGCTCTGGCTCTGAGCCTCGTGAGGGCTCTGCTGAGACCCCTGCCCACAGCTGCAATTGCAGGTGAGTCTGGAACAGCCCTGAGTTGGGGGAGGATGCTCCAGACCTGCAGTACCCGTCTGCTCTGCTGCAGGACCCTGAGCTGCCCCTGCTCCTGGCAACAGCCACAGCTGAGCTCAGCTGGGGCTGCGGAGCAGAACCCCAGACCTGTGTCATGGTTTACATTACTGGGTGCTGTTATTTTGCTGTTCCTATTTCCCCACACATAAACACAACAGACTTTTTATTTTTCAAGCCTTTCTTTATGCTGTCAGCAGGTATGAGCCTAATCAAATACTGAGGAGGGAAGAGAGAAAATTGCTCACTGAGCAGCCTGGCAAAGAACCTCACTGCTGAAGGTCTGCATCCTCCTCACCACACCAATGAAGGCACTTAGGCCTTCCATTGCTCTGTCTCAGTCCTGATTGACTGAAGGAAGCAGGAAACACTGGCTGGTGATCAGGAGAAGTGGGGGTACAGCCACCTCCAAAGCCACCCCAAAATTTAGCACATCAATTTTTGCCCATCTGGCACGTGGAGAATCTGTCAATTTATTAACACCTGGGCTGCAAGCAAAGCAGAATCATATTGGCTCATCTTTGTTCACAGCTACCACACAACTGCAACAGCCAGTTCTGTACCTTCCCTCTTCCCAGGGAATTCAAGATTGTCTCCTGCATTAGAATGGGAGAGCTTAGACTGCCAAAATAAGGAGCCAGTCCAGAGCCTGTAGTGTACATCTGCTCTCATAAGAGGTCTTCGGTGCTGACAACAGCCTGTTTTCGTCTCAGGAGTATTTTAGGTTTCAGGTCCACAAATCAGTTTAGGCTGGTCTAAGCCAGCCATCCCTCCATCCCAGCAAGACACATCAGGGTCACTGACCTGCACTTACTTGCTTGACTTAGATTATACCCCACTGATTAGCACAAAAGAGTTGAATAGAAATAGGAAAATGGCTCTCTGAGCCCAGCACTTGGCATTGAATTCTCTATACAAAAACGAAATGCCTGTCTCTTCAGTTTTAAGTGTTCAGATTCTTAAGTGAACAAAGAGAGGCTCCCAATGCTCCTTCTCTGCAGCCATTCATGTGCCTCTGGGAAAGGATTGGCTGCTGTGCTTGCCAGGCTAATCAGTGAAACAGAGAACACACAATATTAACGTGCATTTAAATCCCAGGCACTCTGAAGTCTCACAAAACCAGAAAAAAATATTTGGCAGATACATCCACCTGATGTTCATGTCCTCGAGGGCCTTGGTCTGGGAAGATCTGCAGGAGGGGCTTCTTCGATCTATAGTTTCCTGAATGAAATATCAGTTAGGGCAGGAAAAAACTGGAAGAAAAGAGAATAGCACCTGAGTTCCAGGTTGGATAAGCCCCAAACACAGAAATTAATCCATCACCCAGGGTAATTAAGCATCACTGACAGGAAGAGTGGTTCACAGGAAGGATCTGGGCAGGCTTGCTGAAGGTCCCAGTGCTGAGGGGAATGGCATTGAGCCTACCAAAGACTTTGAAATCCTGCTCTTGTTTCCTCCTGGGAAAAGCCTTCAGCAGCAGCAGCAGCAGCACCATTTTCCTTGGTGTCTGCATTTTTGCCCAGCGGGATCCCCTGCCACGGGTGGGTCTCTGTGTGCCACTGAAGGCTCTGCAGCCTCATGGTTGGGGTTTTGGTGTTTTGGGGACATGCTGGGCACTGTGCTGGTGCTGGGGAGGGCAGACAGGAGTAATGGGCAGCCCCTGCCAGCATCCTCTCCCCATCCCTGCTCCTTCCATCCATGGTCCAGTAGTCCCTGCCCCAGCAGCAGCCCAGAGGAGGGTTCGTGCCTTCTTTCCCACTGAACATCTCAAAAGCAAGAAGAAGTTTCATAATTTTTCCTCTCACACCTGGAAAGGGAGGAACCCCACAGGACTGTGATCCAGATCAGTCCCTCAAGCAAGAAAACTGAGCAGAAGCAGGAAAACAGCATTCCTGAAACATCTCCTGGTACCTGAGGTACCTCAGCTTCAGAGCGGGGGAACATCCACTTCTCTGTTCCAACAGGTACCCAACTCTGAGCAGAGCCCCCTGCATCCAGAACAAACCTGGCACTTTGAAAACATAGCCCAGCTTCATTTTGGCAAGGAGAACACTTCCCACCATGGCCGGGCAGGGGCCCAGCCCCTGCAGAACTGAAAGGCATCAGCTGGGCTGTGAGTGGCTCCTGCCCCACAGCAGGGGGGGCTGAGGGGTGACCCCCCTGACGGTTTGACAGCTGGGAGGCTTTACTAGCTGAGCTCACTAACAGTAGGTTTGTTGGTTGGTTGGTTTGTTTGTTTGTTTTTTGTGAAAACTTCATCTTCTGGTTCAATAAAATGGCATATTTTCCCTTATAGCTGGGCTGGCTCGCTGCAGATGCCCACTCATCAGTGCCTGCCCAGTCTCTCTGCCAGAGGAAGCACCAGTGGCCAAAGGCCAAGTGAGGCTGGTGGTTGGAGACCAGAGAACCAACAGGAGGGAGATACATACCTTCAGGTATGTCCTTTCTGGTTTGGCTGACCCTTGCACTTTTACCCCTATCCAGTTCCGGAAGATTTAAGTACAAAATTTTTTGATAGAAAAGAGTATACTAATAAAGTGAAGAGGAAAAAAGCTGTCCCAACTTTACCCAGCAGTGAAATGCACATTGATGAGCCTTTACTTCACGCTGTGGGCCTGTTTCCATTTAAGTTGTTCAAAATTCTGCTGATAAACCAGCCAAATCTGGCACAGATAACGTGCTTTGCTGAATAATTGCAGCTGGGAGCAGAGGATGCTGGCTGGCAGTGTTCTGCAGCCATATGCTGGCTGGGTGATTTGTGTGTTGATTTCTTGCCTGGATTGTTTAGGATTCTGCACCAGTAGGTAAAGAAAAGGAAAATTACTGACTTGTCCACAGTTGTTACAGAAATCTAAGTCTCCAAGCAGCCCTGGAAACCTTTGTGCTGCTTGATCCTGTGTCCACTGCTCACTCCTCAGTGCTCATTTAGCTCCTCACACTGAGCTGCTGAGGCTCCAGTTTTCCCGGTATGACTTTGGGTGAGTGCCCCCAGCGCTGCTGCTGCAGGGGCAGGGCAGGGCCTGCGGTTGGTCCCAGCACTCCCCAGCTTCGCACAGCACTGAGAAATGCCCTTTTCATTCCAAACCAGTCCAACCATTCCTCTTTGCTGCAGTTCCCTGAAGCACATCCCTGACCTGCAGCCCAGCCTAGGCCATCCGTGTGTCCCACCTGGGCTGACAGGCTGATGCCATCCCAGGATGAGCAGAGTCAGTCACTCTGCCAGGTGTGCCCGCCCCCATGGCTGCCCTGTGCCCACCGTCCCACCCAGCTCAGTCTCTTCAAGAGCCTTTGCAGGGAAAACCAGCACAAATCCTCCTGGGGATTCAAAGGGGCTGTGTAGAGGGGTCCTCTTTATCCATGGTGCCTCCTTCCAGCAAGGAGATCATGTTTCTAACATGAATGTGTCTGGACTTTTCCTCCAGTAAATCACATTTCTCCAGTGTGTATTAATTTTTTTTTTTGAGGCTGCTTGGAAGGGAATTTGCATGTAAAATAACCAGGATTGCCTCTTCAGAAAGAATGCCACATTGGTCATTTTCTGTTCCCTTTGTGGTAAGGCAGTTTCACTTATAATTTAAAAGCATGATAATCAGTACTTTTGTATTTGAGCTCTTTAGACTTCCTGGGAAAGTGTCATTTGGAGTATGCTCTTCAGATTTGGTTTTTATAATTTCATAACCTCTTTTGCCTGAATGAGATGAAAATTAAGTTTTAAATGCTTCAGCTTGAGTGACTGTCAGAACCACTCCCCCTTTTCTGGTTGGTTGTGCTCCTGCTGCTGTGTGTTTGCAAACCCAGAGCAAAGGACTGCTGGGACCCTACTGGGACCCTGCAGCACCAACTGCAGCTCAGCTTTGCTGAGGCTTTTGCCCCTGGTCCCCCTCATCACCCCCATGAGCAGTTGTTGGACCTTTCTGCTGGTCAGGAACCCGACAGAGCCTCAGCACCCTCTGTCCTCTACCCTGGGCTGCTTGGCAGAGCTGCACCCCTGGCCAGGAGTCACTGCCAGGGGTGACACAGGAAAGTACAGGTCACCAATGCTGCTGGTGGCTGAACTGCTCCTTCCTCATCCAAAAGGTGATCAAACAAGTGGATCCTGAGAGAATCTTCCCAGGATCCATGGGGGATCCTTCCAGCTGAGTGGGTGACCTTTCACCAGAACTCCACAGCTCAGAGGCTTTCTGAAGTGACACATCCCTCAACAGCTGCACAGACACGTTTGCCACACATGGAGGTCCCCAAATCAGGGCCCTGGTGGGTGATGGCCCCAGCTAGAGCTTGACAGGCTGCTGCAGCTGCTGTCAGCCTCTGCATGACTGTCCCTTGCTGGCTCAGGTGACTCCTGCCTTCATCAATTCTCTTCCTTTGGTCAGAACTGCACAATGGGTGAGTTTTGAAGTAAATGCATATTTAACCACTACTCTTAAAGTCTTGTCTTCCTTCCTCCCTTCCTTTGGTGTGTGAGTCATCCCAGCAAACCCGTCATGCCTTAAATTAATTGGGCCTTGGAAAGGAACAGTGATAATGAGCCGTTCCAGGATGCCATTTCTTGAAAGCCAGGGAACGAATGGCACATGGTAAGGTGCTGCCTGAGTCTTCCTCACCTTGTCAAATGCACCCACATGTCAGGCTTTGCTTCCTGAGCTCATGACAGGGTCTGTGTGGTGTCTGCTGTCTTGCTGGCCTCTGCTCCAGATACCTTCAAAGGGAAACTCTTCAGCAATCTCCTGCCTGTGGATCTCCAGCTCTCCGGCCTCCAACCAGTGATGTGCTCGCAGATGGGCTGGGTTCAGAGACTGGGAGAGGGGAAGGAGGTTTGAACTGTTCATCAAAGGCAAGAGGGCTCCTTGTGAGCTCAGTGCAGTGGGGGTGTAAGTGTGGGTTGTGTGTGCTCCCATCTGGATGTGGGGGTGTCCCTGCTCACTGTTCCTGTACCTGTGCAGGTGAGCTCACAGCAGCTCTGACTGATGCCCCCCGGAGTGAGCTCCAGGCAGGGATGAAGAATGAATGTCCCCGATAACAGCTCTGTGCACATCACACATAGGGAGGGACTTACCCCTTCTACTCTCTTCCAAGTCTTTTTCATTAGCTGAGAGTTTTCTGTTAAGGAAACCAAGGTTTGTTTGTTTTGTTTGTTAGTTTGTTTGTTTTCAGTCCTGATTCCTACACAGAGGGAGAGAAGAGCTAAAAAAGAACCTCTTAAGAAGAAAACAGACCCTAAGGGGTGTTCAAGGCTTGGAGGCTTATGGAATGGAGAGTCCACTACAGCAAAGGATGATGCACATGGAGGAGTTGGATTCTCACATGGATGGACTGCTCTGACCCAGAGGGCAGAGGTTGTGGGCCCAAGCTGTGGCCAGGCTGGAGTACTCGGAGCTGGTAGGACAACACAGGTAGGAGCTGCCTGTCGCTGTTACCTCCTGGGGTTTCACATCCCATTGGAAATCAGGGGGCCAGCACTTGGGCAGGAACTGAGTGTGCTGTCAGTTATGCTGTATGACTCCAAGGAGGGAAAAAAAGGAAAAAAACCCCAAGAATAAAATAAAAAATTAAAGTTGAAGATCCAGCCCAAGTGGGTCACTAGACAAGGTCCATTAGTGCAGGGAGAGTGCACAGTTACAATGGCAGAATGGCAGATTAGTTCTCTTTGTTCTGTCACACAAACCTTACAGCTGAAACTTGAGGACTATCAAATCCTTTTAAAGCTTTTCTTTTCCAACCATCCTGAAGTTCCACTATTAGTAGCTATTATGTACTTGCCATTTGTATTTTGAATAATAAAGTCTAAATTGTAACTGTTCACAGAATGTCAAATGCAATTGCAATGGCAGTGTTGTTCTTTTCTCATTTCTCCCATTGAAGCCCATTTTGGACAACTTGCTCCTCCACCCACTGCCTGTGCTGAATCTCAGAGCCAGTTAAAGCACATGCTAATGGCAGGCTCTGGTCTGAAACAATGTGTGTGGAAGCACTGTTCTCATGTGGGTGGCAGCTAATGCCAGATCATACTCTGACCTTGGGGAAATCAGGCCTTGGTGTCACTGGAAGATTATTGCACTTCCCAGTTCCTGCCCCCTGAATTTTAATTTGGCTTAAGTTGGCAGAAGAATTTAAAATATGGTTGTAGTTTCTGGTTTAGATGTGCAAAGTTGTTTAGAAATCTGGCGTGTCTGTGCTCGGCTGAGCCGGGCTGGCTGGGACAGCCAGGGCAGAGCCTGGGGCCGAAGCTCCCGCCCTCCTGCTGCCACAGGCAAACCCGAGCTGGCTTATAACCCAGGAGTGACCCACACACAGCCCAGCTGTGCACACTGGGCAGCACAGGCAGTGTGAGGCTTGGTAATAAATATTTCAGGGCCTCAGCTGTACCTTCTCTGCCCTGAGAGCAAAAGGAGCCGTTTTGCAGCTCCCCCGTTGCAAAGCTTCTGGCGCTGGTGTATCTGCACTGTCATTAATTCTTCTGTCCAGAGGGCATCCAGCCCTCCAGGAAACAAAGACACCCTCTGACATTTAAGAGTAAGACACAAGAAGGAAAGGTACTGAATGCCTTTAATACCTCCAGCCTACGAAGTCTCTGCAGAGACAGGCAGGTAACTGGAATTTTGCCCAAGAAAAACAAGCAGAAAACTGTAATAATTTTATTCCACAGTACAGCCATTCCTGCTCCTAAAGTGTTTTCTGACAGATAAAAACCAGACAAACATCAGTCAGAGACTGGCAGCTCCACTGGGTGTCCAGGGGCAGGAGAGGCTGGTCAGAATTATTGCTGTGTAAGGAATCAAGTCTTAAATCCTCAGCCATTGAGTGACTGAGTCTTTCAGGAGATTCTAGCACATACCTGTGGTTAGAAAATTTGCACCTGGAGAAAGCATGCCTTGGATTTTGCTGGAAATGTGATTAGACTAAAGTTGTAGCTTTCCTTTTCTGAGCTTGCAGCTCTAAAGCCAGGGATGATATGTACCAGGCAGGAACACTATGGGAGGATAATGAAATGGCTCTTCAGATACACGATAATCTCACAGCTGCAGTGAGAATAGCTTCAGGGGAAATAAAAAAAAAAGCATAAACCTCCCAGATCATCTTGCTACTGCGAAAATAAATGTCAAGTGTGTCCTTCCTGCAGCCCTCGGGCAAGAAACCCCGAGAGAGCAAATGCAAGGCTCGTTCTGCTGAAAGCAACTGGGGTTCTGACCCAACCATGAACTGGAGCAGCTCCTAGACCTGGGAATTCATAAATACGAAATTCTGAGCAAAGAGCCAGTTCCTTGGAGAAACACACACCAACTATACAAATCTTTCCTCCCACAGAAGGAATTCCTATCTCTGTCTGGGCTCTTTTTCTGCTGCTTATGGGAAGGATCTTCGCTGGTCTCTCCAAGAGCCTCTGGCTGGCACAGTGTGAGCTGGGATGCCT